GACGCTACTAGGGTCTCCTGGCCTTACTACTAGGAGCAAGGACGCTACTAGGAGCAAAGGGCATCGCTACTATTCTAATTTATTTCATTCTATTCTATTTTAATCTACAGTATTTATAACTTAAAAGTACTTTAATATTAACTTAACTTAATTCTACTTATTTATATAAATTCTAATTTAATTATGATTAACATACTTTAACTCTAATTTAGTTTAATTCCAATTTAATTCCAATTGAATTTAACTATATTTTAAGTTAATTTCAATTTAAATTGATTCTAATTTATTTTAATTTAATGCAAATCTAATTTGATTCTAATTTCATTTAAGTAAATTCTAATTTAAGCCTAATTTAAGCCTAATTTAAGTTAATTCTAATTTAACTTAATTATAATATTTAGTTTAATTCTAATTTAACTTATATAATTACTTCTTGTTACTAGTAGCGTCCTTTGCTCCTAGTAGTACAGCCAGGAGCCCCTAGTAGCGTCGTTGCTCGTAGCGATGCCCTTGTCACTAGTAACAAGTTTGGAGTCTCCTTCTCCGTCTCTCACCCTCCAAGCTGCAAAGCTGGACCTCTCTGTGTCGGCTGACCAGGTATCACACTCGTCGGCTAAAGCCAGGCTTAGCAGCTCGAAAACGAAGCCCGTGGCGGAGAAGCCCTTTGTGGATGCAACACCCACCTCAACGACGTCAACGGGTCATCCCGTACAGCAACGTGGTACGACGTCAACGTGGTACGTGGTATGTTCAAAAACATTGTGAAAATGAAGAGTTGAAGCAACAAGGGCGGCAGCGCTGGTGGCAGGAAATTGATAAGTTCGGTGGGGGGGCATGTCAAGTTTCGGCTGAGACACCTCTGCACCTGCTCGTACATTGATCACCAGGTCGCATTCAGATGCCAAGCTGGAAGATGAGTTGTTGACCACAGCGACTTTCAGGACACTTTTGCCCATTTCAGGATGTCTTGTGATCTGACGAATGCTTTCAACTGCATCAACGGTCTCTCCAGACATTGACACCACGATCACGACATCCCCTAAACGCAGGGCAGGCTCATGATACCGATATTCAGAAGCATAGTGCGCCTCTACGGGTATCCTGGCCATGTACTCAATCAAATATTCAGCCAACAATGTGGCATGCCAAGAAGTACCAGATCCAATGACACTGAACCTGCCGCAAACTAAAACCACCACGCAAGTAATGTCTGCATAGAGAAATGTCTGACTTGAGAAGCAACACCAAGTATAGGAGTATATTAACATCGGTTGGCAAACACGCCGGAATCCTCCCCCGAAATGGTACATCATTGGTGGCGAACCCTGCCTATTCATGAAACCTGATGGCATCCGCTTCTGGGAGCAAGCAGACATGATTTCTAGAGGCGTCTTTCCTGCGAGGCCATGTCCTGCCGGTAGCTTTTCTCGAAGTCCTGGTATCTCCACCGAGCCATTCTTCATGTACACTTGCCTTTCTGTGGGAAATCGAATGACTTCATTTGAGGTAATTTTCTGACATGCGAAAACAAGAACCAGGAAAGCTCCACAACGTGTGCTAACTTGCCGAGCAAAGTGCAGCAAGTTTCGAAGAACATCGGGTGTTCCCCAAATGTCTGTGAGCATAGTCTCTCTGCCCACATCAGGAGCTTGTAAAGGTGCTTGCATTGAAACCATGGCGCACTATGAAGACTAGGTCTGGAGTCTGGAGCCCGAATGACTGCTGCAAAGTCTGGAATGAAGAGCCGCGCTTGTGGCACTATTTCCACCTGAGGAAGCACATGATAGCTATGATCCCGCTGAACCGGATGACACGTGGGCGAATACACATCAAGTAGCACGGACAATCTGTGGCTTGTTATAGTACATCGAATTCAGCTATGCTTCCGGAGACAGCGCAGCTATTGCCAGCCAATAGTTGCTCCAGCTGCCTGTATGCCTGCAATGAACAAAGAGTTGATGCTAACATTTTGAACAGAATTCGACGTGCTGCGAGCTATGCGGAAGGAAAAAGGATTGTCCAAAACCCCGAATCGAAAACACTTGCAATCCGGCGGCAGTTTGGGCCAAGTTTCGAGGCCTCGACCACTCGAGCCTCTTCTCTCGCAATCCATTGCCTGAGTTGCATCGTCGCGATGAGACAACACATGCAGCGAGTGCGTAGATTTAGATGTGAAAAAATCGTCATTTATCACATCGCGGTGGGAACAAGGGGCGTGATCTGCTCATTCTGGTTTGCCTGCCAAAACTGATAAAAGGCACAATGAAGCGCATGAAGTAGCGGGGAAACCGCTACTCATCCCAAAGCCTGTTGCTCTCGAAAAGCTTGGGGCAAATGTGGCAAATCTTGAACTACTGGCAACACCTGGGAATGCCGTTTACAAGTGTGCTGTTAGCAACAGGCTGCAAGCAGTTTCTTTGTCAGCAAACTGCCATTTGCACCTTCTCATCTTGAGCTGCACCGGGCAGCGGTGTGCTCTGAACCTGAAGCTCAAAAACAAATCATTACCGACAGAAATGCATTTGGCAAGGTGCCACAAACCATCAATCATGCGTGTTGCCTCATCGGTCTCCAGCCAGGCTTGTGTCCGGCCTAAGGCAGGATCATCAGTGATGTCGGTCGGAAAAGTCTCTGGCTTTGGCGTAGATGTGATATTGTGGTTTGTTGATGTTTTGATTTATATATCAAGCACTCACTACTTTATTAGCTTCTGCACAGTTGGTCGCACATCGGGCAAAATAACTCTGATGCAAAGCAAACAGACTTTGCTTCCAGCTGGGCCGCAAAGGTGTCACCCAGGCCATGATTGAGCCATTCTTGCTGCGATGAATCCGCCACAGGGTCTCTGTACGTTTTGACATGCGAGATCTATATACACATCGCTACAAGTACTACTGTTGATACTAGCAAGGGCATTGCTAGTAACATACTATCGATACTCACTATGTGGCCACTTTGTGGGATCTTGCGATTTACAAGCATCAAGTTCCTTCAAACCTTCCAACGGATTTGGTGAATTGGACAGCTCATCTCTCTGCATAGCAAACAGTGGCTGATTTAAGGTCCCCATTTGGCAGTTTCATAATGTTTTATCTACCTTCATAGGTGTATTGAGCCTTTCTTTTTAAAGTCAAAATCAAACACTAGGTAATCAGCACCACTGTTGGCGAAGACCTTCGTGTCGACTGCACTTGCTGGCAGATGTGGGGGTATTGATCATGTGATCAAACATTTTATTTGTATTGACAGTTGGCGAACGGGGAAGGTTTGGGCACGACCGGGTGGCTCTGTGCTCCCTGAGGCGAAAAACAGGCTCCTCGAAGCGCTCCATGAAGTCATCCTGAAAAACAGTGTCTGCATGTGCCTTTCAAATCCGAAGCGCTACAAATATGCAAAGTTCCGGTCCAGAATCTAGTAATTAGCTTAGAGACAACCGCTAGAGGGTTGGAGACAATTGTGCTTAAATCTTCGCTGTAGGAAGATTTCAGACATTCTCACACTAAGTTCATCACCTTTGGTGCCTGAAGCGACGAAGTCTGGTGATCGAAGCGAACATGAATCACAATGTCAACCCAGATTGGGGTCGGTATTGATGTCGTAAACACACGCCAATGATACAAAGCCCACCTTGTCATCATCGAAGCTCTTCATCCTTGTTCAACAAACATGCCCAAACAAACTTTGAAACAATCTGAATGGCAATCCTGAATGCCAAGATCCACGTCACCTGTGCAACTCGACAACACTTTTCTTGGCTTGAACCATGCTGTACAACTGCCACCTTCTGCGCAGTATGTGTGCAAGGGCCAAAGCCGATTCTTGAGATAAGTACCGGCATGGGCAGACTTGTTGCAATGCTCTGGCCCTCACTGTACAATCCCACACTGCCGAAATGAGCCAACTCTACAGTATCAAAGCCGATGTTGCACCAGACTCGCTTGCTGCACAAAGCTCAATCCGGCCTGAGCCAAAAGTGCCTAACAACAATGGTTAAAAACTAGTCAAATTCAGGACAATGGCACCAATCTAGCTTTTGATCTTCCTCGCTGGTTCAAACGAACCCTTGGAGACAATGCCCGGATTCTTGTTGTGCCAAGAGGCAGAAAAATGGCATTGACATTGTCTGCAACCCGCAGCAAGTAAAGCGATGCGATGCTACCAAAGGGTCCCCAGCGCATGGCGAAAGGCTCCATTTGCGCTTTGCTTGGCATCCATGAGACCTGCGACATCTCTCGATGTCTTTTGTCCCCGAATTCGTCAGATAAAACGCAATTAATGCAAAAATATCTGATAAGTAAACACTTGTAAACACTTCCTCACAGCATGCCTCGTTCTTCGTGGTGAGCTCTGCAGGCGGAGCAATGTTGTAAATGAGCTTCATGGCACTTTGGATGGCCACGTCGCCGAATGGGATCCCTCGTCACGCTTTCTGATTGGATTAAGCGATGTCAGGAGCCCCTAGTAGCTTCTTGTTACTATATAAAGCTTTCTGAAACATATGTATGCAGCATGTGCAGCTCCTTTGAACTAGCTGCAGTCTGGCAGAGGCCTTGCCTCCGTGCCGGTGTAGTTGGAAGATCAAGAACATTTCCTCCCGGGGGGGGAACAAGTAAGGGAGCTCTGCCAAATGCGTGTGATTAAACCCCTATGTCGAATAACTTTCTTAGGTTCTTGCTTTCGCTCTACTTGCGCGAGCACAACGTGAGCTTACGCATGAAGGAGAATCCCCCCAAAAACACTTACACACATCTTACTCATGTGCGTCGAGCAACATGGCAACCATACTCATACCCGCGGAGAACAATTCTTCGCGATGGTTATGAAGATAGCGCCTTACGCACAGCCTTTGCAACATGCATGCCTCACAACTCCGTAGCCTTAACGGTCTCAGGTTTTTGATACGTTCAAGTCCCACAAGCACATAACTTCGACACGTGTATGTGAAGCAACATTTTGCTGGCTTCCCAACGGTTTCGGCCCACACTTTAAAATCTAACCTGCACAAGTCCAATCCAACTGTTTCTTTCTGAGAACGTTCCCCTTTCTATTGCTATATACTTTTTGTTTTTTCTTTAGATCCGTCTTTCTGGTTATTCTTTATCCGTTCCTCTTTCTTCTGCTTTTTTATGTATGCATTATGCCCGTTGTTCTTCCTTCTGGTACCCTTGTCGTGCGCACGACGTGGGTAGCAAATTGCAACGGCCATTTTACACAATATTTACAGGGGATCGTGTGCTTCCCCTCATGCGACGACCAAACGGAATTTTCCGTGAATGGCTACGCCAGGACTATCCTTCCTGCTGTAAGAACAAAATGCCTCACGCGCTACGACAGTTTTTTTCTTCTCTAGACTCTAGACCTTTATCATGTGTTTAATTTATTTCTTCAACCTTTCTTCCGTTTTTACTTTTCTTCCTTTGTTCTTGTTTTCTACATGTTTCCTTTTTCAAACCTTACTTCCTTTTTTCCTCTTTTTCCTGACCTTCTTTCTTCTTTAGACTTGCCTTCCGGGGTTATTTTTCTTAAAACCTTTCTTATGTTGCTTCTTTCTTTAGACCTTTTGTCTTTAAGATTATGTTTCTTTTGTACTTTCTTCAATTTCATACTCTGTCCAAGGTCCACTCGCCGATGCCCGGAAGCTGCATCATGCGCTCACGTACTTCTTGGTCAGAGGCCTCCGATTAAGCATTGGCTGTGCCTACGCACATGCATTCGTCAGCTTCCAAATTGCATGCGCTTTGTGAGTGAAAGTGTGCATAATTTTCAAGCATGCACAAATTAACTACACAAACACAAACTAAGTGTTGCCTTGTGAATGTCAGCGCCACTCTGTGCATTGCGCCTGGTCAAAGATCTCACTATTTAACGTGCCATCTAAGAAGCGCTGAGCAATCCCCTGAATATATTGGATCCTAGGCAATTCACAAATGACACCGAACCTACACCTACAGCAACGCTCGGCATGATGACCTATGCCCTCCTTCTAAAATCTGGCGACAATAAGCGGCCACGGTGCTTTCGATACGAGAGCTTGGCCACTTCTCTAATCCTGAATTCGACTTGGAAGTACCCCTTGATACAATCAAGGATTAATTTCAGACGTGGTCTTTGCTCTTTTGGACCTTTGTCTTATTCAATATTCCTTGCCTTTCTTCGGCACATCTGGCCGGAACGTATTGACTGCGAACAAGTCACTTGTCTGGTGACTCCTGCAGCACTTGCTCAGGGTGCAGTATCTTGGAGTCCTTGGACTTCGGACTTTGCTTCGATTGGTTTCATATATATATATATTTACACTGTATATATATATATATGTCCTTTTTCATATTTTTCGCTTCTCTATCTCCTTTCTTCTCATGCTCATGTCTCATCTCTCTTCGTTTCTCTTTTTTTTGTTCACTCGGCTCTGGTTGGTTTTCGGCGAAACTTCCAAGGCACCCTGTTACCACAAAGACTCAGCAAGCGTTGAAACATGCCCTGGCAAACCTTCACGCTGAGCTGCTGATGGCATACCTCAGCATTCTTACATTCATTATGCTTCTCATTGCTTCTCCGTCTTCTCTTCTCTATAAATCATTGATAAATCGTATGTATATTATATATCTGCTTCTCTTATGTTTTCTGCCCGTTTGCCACCCTCCTCGGCCTGAGCCAATGGACTTACTATGACTTACTGTAACGACTCCTGACTAACAAGAACTCTTCTTTGAACACGACGCTTCTCTGCCGCCTTCTTCCACAGCCAAGGCGCAGTCTGGACCAAGGTGGTGAAGGGATCAGGCCTTCTCAAAACTTCCCGCTCTCCCTCTCTCTCCTCTCACCCTAATAGCAATGGCCTCCAACCCAAATCACCCTTCTAATTGCCACACCGTCGAAAATATCAATCCTTTCGAAATGGCACTGGCAATTGCTCGCTCAATAATCCATTACAATACTCATAGACTCGTGGATTCTTGATCCTTCCTGCCTTCCCTTGCCCAGGAGCTCTAAAATGGCGGTGGGCGGACCAATCAACTGCACCACGTGCCTCAACACAGGTGACACCGTATCAGATCGTTTGACCAGCAATATTTTGTCCGCTTCCGGTGCCTGAACCGATCATCATTCTGAACGAGGTATCCGACCTGCATCGCGCACAAATATGCTGAGATGGATGCATGGCGTGTCAGATGTCGCAGTTTCGTGGTTGCCCGATTTCGATATAAGGTGCACAAATGACAGAAACAAACGTGTTCTGATTCTGCCAAAGCGTCTCCAAGCTGAACACTCTGCCAGGTCATTGTAATAGGAAGCTCCGGCCAAGGTGACGTCCCCAAGTCAATGGAAGTCGTGGCACCTTGACGGGCCAAATTGGCAGTCTGGACGTGACGCTTCGTTACGTCAACTTTTCCGCGACTCGACTGAGATGAGGTGCGAATTCGTGGAGGAAACGGCCCCAGCTTGCCCAAAAACATGGAATCGAACTTTTTTTTTTTTGGCACAAGGGGCCTATGCCTAAGAACCCTCCACATAACTAAGGCCTACAGCATGCACAAATCATGCAGTAGGGTACCCATGTGGGCCTTTCTTCAAACACGGGATGCCTATGTAAGCACACGGCAAACTAAATAAACAAGGGCGTCTTTCAAATGTCTGTTCTTGAAACCTGATGTGCCAAAAAGTGCCAACGCACCCAGGAAAAATCCTGAGGCGCGATGGAATGTGCATCTTCGCGAAGGATTGGACGTCTCAAAATCCTACCTTGCGAAACCACCATGCTGGACACATATTGCGTAGATTGATCATTACTCCCCGGGGGTCTCAAAATTGTAACTTACAATTTTGGGATTCTCCAAATGCAGGTTTTGGACAACGATGATTTTTGATCTTAGAGGCATACAATACCTCCATCTGACAAAACAGGGGTCAAAAGTGTTACATTTTTATGCCTGGGTGTGTTTGTTGAGTTTGTGCACGTTCAAGAAATGTAAGTTGCATGTTTGAGCGTCAAAGTGGATGCATGGACCCCGACCGCAATTTCCAATCTGCGGGTTTGGTTCTGTTTGTTTGTTTGTTTGCATTGTTGCTGTTTTTTGGCGGGCCGTGTCCTTGAAGGATGCCTGACGCCTGCAGGGGTCGCGGTGGAGTCGTTCTAGAAAGCACAACAAAAAATGCCCCTGCTTCTCAGGGGGTCTACTTGCAGTATGGCTTTCTGGGTGCACTATAGCACGCACTGTGCAGTGTTTGTCCTGGTTTGTGCTGGCTTCAACATTTCTTGGAAGAGGGAAGAGCTTAAGAGACTTACCAAGGACATGTCGCTCAAACAAACAGAGCCTGATCCGAAGTCACGAAAGCAAAGCAACTTGAAAGCAAATCCGACAGGGGTTCTAACTTGTTATTGTGAGGTACCTGCCCATCAGTTCTTACAATTCACACCCATTTTCAATTTCTAATGTCAGAGGCAAGAACTTCTTTGAAGGAGGGGTCGAAAACCCTAGATCTAACAATTTCCAAACCCCCCTTGTAGGGCTATATACTGTAATGATATTTTCCGAACATTGACAATTATAAGTTTGAAATTTGACCGCCCGCGCGGGGGGTCGGGCACGCAAAGGGGGTAGTGATTGCAACTTTGGACTCTTTGAAACGCTTGGGCGGCTGGAGGCATCGGAACCGAATGGTATTGAGGTCGCTGCGCGACGACAACCGCCCGCACCAGTGGCTCTCAGAGATAGAGCAAGGAAGTATCAATTGCCACTCTATTTTTGGATCCTTTGATGCATTGTTTAGTTATGTTTGGCTTGCATTTTGCAAGCGTTGTTGGATCTATTTTTTGATGCCGTTGAAATTGTACATTTCCAAGGGGGTCACAAAAAGGATTGATTATGTACAAAGTAGAATTTTTTCACCACTGTTTTCAAAGAATGTCCATACGGAGGTGATGTTGACTTGAAAACGCAACAGTTGATACAATGTGGACAATCTGAAACTGTACAATTTCCAGGGGTCGAAAAATAAATTTCATACATTTTTCAGGGGGCACAACTCTAATGCACAATCATTCTATTTTCTTGACAAAATCGAAATTGAGCTTTTCCAAAGGGTCCACACCATATAGATTTTGCGCATTTTTCAAGAACACACCATGTATTCAACAAGACTTCCATATGGATATAAATTGGCACCCTAAAAAAGTCTTGCCTGAAAACAACAGCAAGATAGAAAATGCATTGAACACACAGGGATTTTCTACAATGAGCTATGCCATTGCAATTGCCTGATGCAAATGATGCAGTCATGAAACATCTATATATGAAAGGAATCCAGTGTTTCCTTTTCATGGACCTGGTGCTGCAAATGAGACAAAAGCGGGACTGTCAGATATATACATATATATATGTTAAAAAAACTATGTGTTTCTCAATGTGTTATTCCTGCCCACTCCTCTCCCAGACACATGTCATGATGCAGAATATGCATTTTCGTTCCCAAACGAAAAGGCTCCCCGTAGCTAAAGTTACTACTTCCAACGCGACTTGGTCCAAGTACGGAATAAATCCTAGCTTAGTGGAGACCTTGTTTTGGGGCATGCTCCCAAAAACGCAAAGATTCTAAGGACACTTTTGCTCACACGACAAGTTCATCGAAAGATGTACGTCCCAGGAAACGCCAGATATATCTCGGGTGGAAGTTTCTGTAGGCACTATAGAAAGAGCGTCGTGCAGAAGATTGAGACCTATAGTCTATAGTCGATATATATATATATAGTGCCCTTTGTAGTAACACACCGTTAGAACAGTCTAGAATGTCCTAACACCACCCTAGAACAAACTAGTTTTGAGTTTTTACTGACAACATGTTAGAACATACTACTATGTACTAACACCATGTTAGTACATAATAGTATGTGCTAATAACGCGCTAGAACGTACTAACAATGTCCCTGAAATGTACTAACAATGTACTAACACGTGTTAGTACGTGCTAACAAACGTTAGTGCGCTCAACATTTTGCTAGTACATATTAGTTTGTACTAACATGGTGTTCGCACATACTAGTTTGTACTAACATGTTGTTAGTACATGCTAGATTGTACTAACATCGTGTTAGTACATTGACATCATTGTTTGTACTAACATGATATTAGTACATACTAGTTTGTTCCAACATGGTGCTAGGACATACTAGTTTGTGCTAACGCGGTGTTAGGACATTCTAGATCATTCTAACGTGGTGTTAGGGCATTCTAATTTGTTCCAACGTCGTACATGCTTAAGTCTTGCCAGCGTTACGCAGGAAGCAGGCAAACACATAGTTGAGGCCAACGCTTCCTTGCGTAGTGTACTTTTGAAGTGTACAAAGCCTAGAGTGCTAGAGGTTTAGGGGGGCGCAACGCCTTTCCAAGTGGTAGTAGCGGTGAACGTGGTGTAAGTAAACTTGTTTGTTCGCACATTGTTCGGACACCATTTGGCGCAACCCTGTCTGGTGCACACAAAAAAACTCTTGAAAAAACAGATGCTCCAAGGTGCTCACATGGTAAGCCGACAGGCAAAAAAGCAAGTCTCACCGGAATTAGTAGGCTATGTAAAGCTAAAGCTATATGATGCTTCCTTCCCAAGTTTGCAAAAGGCTTCAATGCCAGCCCTCTTTTTGAAGGCCTGGCAACCTTTCCCCGGCACTTCCGTCCCCTTTCGTGGTGTAAAGAACATACCAAGCCTTGCAAGTATGTGACAGGCCAAGTGGAAACAAGACCTCTCCACCGCAGCCGCGAACTTGGCCACATTGGAGTCGATCAGCGCCACCACGCGTGAATCAGGGCGGCGTGCAGCAAACTCTGAGGAGACGCAGCCGACCGGACTTCAAGCGCGGCCAAGAGGTCGTTCACAAACACGCAGTCGAGCCCTTCAAATCCACCTTCCTCCTCAAGCTTGAAATATCAAGGGCAAAGTGGATGTCTGGCAACACCCTGTACATACACCGCACACGCGAACGACTCGTGAGCAATGGGCCCTCAAAGAAACTGCGCCCAGGTAGATGACCAACAATCGGAACTCAAACTCCTTCTGGTGAATACTTCCAAAAGCACAAGATGCCACGACTGCCTCCTTGAAGGCCTCCATGGTGAAGCCAGGCCATTTTTGACCTTCAAGAGCACCAGGTCGATGGTGTCGGCGAGTTTGCTGAAAGCCATAGTGTTTCCAAGAAGAACTTTTTGGGCTCAAACGATCCCATCCTTTCGGTTCAGCGTAGGATCTGACAGCGGGATGAGCAACAGGCGAAAAAGTGGCACAAGGCGGACAAGAAAATGGACCTGAATCAGTTGCTCTCCAACATGTGTCATACCCACTCCAGCAGTCTAAACTCTCGCAGATCATAGCAAGCGGGGATCTGAAACACGGCCAGCTGCAAAGAGCACCACAAAGTTGAGGAAGAGCAAGAAAGGCTTGGAAGGCCGGTCTGGTGTAGCCAGTCCGCTTGTCGAAGCCACGCCAAAGAAGCCCAACCTTCTCGTCATGAAGTCCAGAGCTAAAAATGGCACCGCGCCCTTTCCCATCGAGGCATTGGTAGCAAAAACCTTGCTTGGCACAAGATCCAGCGGTCAGGTCGCTGAACATCAGAGGTGCCATGACAGCCAACTCAACCAGCTCACTTGCTGTAGCCAGACTAAGAGGGTGAAGCTTTCCGTCATCTTCCGGCATGAGTCCAGCCCCAGCGCTGCAGAGGTCATCAACCAAGCTGGGAAAGCACCTCCTGAAGAGAAGCGCAGACACCCAACTCCCCAACAACCTCGCCGCCAGGCTTGAGGACAATGCAGGTAAGCAAGCCGCTCCAAGCAGGACAAGCCAAGTCTCTTACCAAGAGGGGCGGCTGCAGGAACAACTCCAAGGGCAACAGCTGTTGGGGTAGAGTCAACTTCCGTTCCTGCTGCTTTGAAGATCTCTGAATGTCTTTCTCGCTCAAGGGCATGTCTTCTGTTTTGGTAGGGAACAGGGATGAAATGAACGCAGAAGTAAATGAGAGATGAGAGCTTCCCACACATGCCCAAAAAGGAAGAGGATGCTTGTTCCTCAGGCGGCATTCCTCTCTTAACAGGCCTTCTCGCTAAAAACGGACTTCACTCAACGCCAAGGCGGTCTCCTGATATAGTGCTCCCTTGCAGGGAAAGGCGTGCTCCAACTACCTCAGGCTCAACCTTGTCTGTTTGGCAGTTGCTCGTAGGTCATCGCCAGGGGTTTCTCTGCCCCGCTTGCCCTTTGCAATTCCTCTTTCCAGATGCCCAGTGCCTTCGTGCGATAGAACTCCTCAACCGGGGAGGGGGACGGGGTGATGTTGGACTGAGCTCGAGCCAAGCTAACAGCCGCCTGATGATAGAAGCTGGCCAGATGGTAGGAAAGCAGAAGGTCTAGTTAACAATAATCTCTCTACTGGGGATTCTCCGGCCGCCAATTTGCCGGTCACACCCTCGGTTCTTGAAGGCGCTGAAAACCTTGCAGTAGTGACCCTCGAGGAGGGGGCGGTCAAAGAGCCGTAGCAAACCAAGGCCTTCCCACTTCATCGCCAACTTCTTGTGCTCGTTGGGGTCTCCCTGTGCAAAGGATGGCCATGAGGACGAATCATCTTCTCCTCACTAAGGGGCCAATCGCCTGTCCCGCTGACCAGGAGCCGCTCTGCATCAAGACGCTTGTAAGGAGTCAGCTGTGGGAACTGGTTGTCTGGCATCTTTGGAGGCTTCAAGGACAGGCCTCCCTGCACGCCCGAAGAGAACTCAGGATAATCCAAGTAGGCCTCCCGTGCCAAACATGTAACTGGACCGGATCGATGAACAGCACTACACGTGAGCACCTTCTGTGCGGGATACTACCATCACGCTTGTAGGTCAGCGCCCAATGCGGCTTGTCTGACCCACCCATGCCGCAAATAAAACAACAAACCTAATAGCAATGAAAGAAACATGACCTCCCTCCTCACTTCATCTTAAACGGGCGGCCCGAGAGCGAAGAGATATGATAGAGCGATAAGACATCAAAAGACACACATGGAAACACATGAGCCCATGTATTATGCCCATCTTCATGAGGATGCGGAGATGTGGGAAGATATATTTTTCTCCGATGTCTTCTATGAAGAACCTTCAATCAGGTCCTCTCCAAGAATAGATGCACCAAAACTTCAACAGCGAAACATGGCAAAACTCAGGCATACTGAAGAATCTGAGTATGGAAAAGCATAGTATGCTGAATCCCATATTTGCTTCGAAGCCACTCTGAATCTGCTGAAAGACCTTCGCAGCTTCAACTCTTTGCCGCTTTGAGGTCCTCAAGCCCCACAGCTGAACGCCCTGAGAGGACTGTTCTAACAAATGCAAATGCTTGAATATTGTCCTACCCCTATAGGTGTGGCTTGACTTTAGGCAGCTCAATATGGGGCACGCTTCAAAGAAAAAGCATTATGCAAAACAATCTTTTGCCTCGGTGTGGTGCCAGGATCTGCCAGGTGCCAAGTGTCAACTTCAAAATCTTGGAAACTCCCCAAGAACGCTTTCGGAAATGATAGGTCTTTGGCCACACATCTTCCTTCGAATTGGCCTCAGGGCTGGGGTGTTCCGCTGCGCTGTGCCTGTTGGCAGACCTAGATCTAATCACTGAGACCTCTGCGGTGCCACGTCGAACAAAATGAATCAGAAAGAGAGCCCCAAGCTTCACTGGACTGTGAGTGAACCACTGATGGCCATTTTTCTATAGTACAAACGAGTTATATATAGTAGCAAAAGTAGTTGCCAACCCGTCTTACAATTTTTACGCGTGCTATGCCTGCGCAATCCTATGAAACCATCACTGCATGCCATCCGTGCTACCGCAAAGGACTTCCCTTCTTGAGATGAGTTGCTATTGCATGACGGTGTCTTTGTTCATCTGGAGCCGCCGGTACTGAGGTCGTAGTCTTTTCGAGCAATTCGTTGTACTTCCCACCCACATCCTGACCAAGAGTACTAACTACCCATACTAACTCTCAGTATCTCTCAGTCTCTCTTCCTCTATTCTTTCGTTCTTCCCTGGGAAGTGAAAAAAAACGCACCTTCCGCACCTCTGAGTCAGTTGCCATGACTATGAGCCGCGCAACCGGCTTGACATGAAGACTCCAAAATGCTGCGTGCTTCTGCAGGTGAGCCACTTCCTCAGGTCAAACAAGATTCCCGACAAAGAGCCTTTAAGTCCTACTTTCCTGTCCTCTTTTACTTTTCTTTTTCTAAGAAGACCTTTAGACCTTTCTTGCATTCTTTTGTTGAGTGTGCCTGGTTTGCCATGGAATGTTGTTTTGTTTCTATATAATTCAGCACTCAGCATTCGATACTATTCGCATGTGGATGTTTGTCGTCGCTGTTCGTATGTCTTCAAAACGGCCACGGCTCTGCCTCTTCATGTGTCCGCTTCCTGGGTGCGAAGCACCGCAACGTACAAAAAAACAACACATTCCGCGTTCTTGCGTTCGTAGCGATGCCAGGAGCCCCGAACGTAGCGTTCATGTTTCGTTTTACATCCCATCTCTTTCGACCAGGGTCATGTACAGAATCGCTCGGCAAAGTGTTTGGGATGTTTGCCCTGGCCGATCCAACCGGCCCATCATCTGGACGAGCTGATCCATCTGAACCGGACCTAAGGTGTCCAAAGGCAGCAAATGGCACAAAAACACAAGAAATCTGACTCAAGTCGATTCGTCAAGCGACGCAGAACCAATGCATCTCCCAGGGATTGCAGATTCAATCCAGCTGAGTCAGCGCCCACGGTGAAAATCAGCAGCTCTTCCTGAGATTCTGAGCCTGACGGACTGCGATCCAGGCGATGGCGATAGGTGGGTCATGCAAAGGGGGGCGAAAAGAACGATCTCCGTCTCCTGCCTTCGATGGGGGCCATGCTTGTTCCTGCAAACTCGATTCCCAAACCCCGAGCTACCGAACGATTTCTGTGCTGTGAGGGCTGACGCTGACGCTATGTCTCCTGGCTTGACAAACCTGGGCGACATTTCAGATTGTCCTTCCACTTCTGGCCTTCTCTCTGCCTAATTCTAATTCAATTCTAATTACTTTTAACTCTATTTATTTATTCTTTCTAATTAAAAATAGCTTCTTGTTCCTAGTAGTCAGGCCAGGAGCCCCTAGTAGCGTCCTTGTTCCTAGTAGTCAGGCCAGGAGCCCCTAATAGCTTCTTGTTACTAGTAGCTACTTGCTCCTTCTAATTTGGAGTGTTGAGCTAAGATGCTTATTGAAGTTCCTGCAAAGATCGCAGCCTTTGCAGTGCTTGGGATGACTCCGTCTGAAGCGTCTGGCGCAAGCGATGTGCCGCACCAAAGCTTCTGCCTCTCGCTCCGTGGAAGCAAAAACCAAGGGCCGGCGACCTGCGCAAATATACAACCATGCCTAAAGGCCTGAGCATAGCCTCGCTTTAGTACAAAACCATTGCCTTCCGCCCTCAGCTTTTGCACTGTAGTCCAAACAGCTTGGCTAAGAGGGAGTGCGTCTTGCTGCAAGGAAGTGCTCAACCTTGATGTCAAGCGGTGCTCTGTCGTATGTAAGCTCAACTTCGTGGTGCAAGGTGGAGCTGTTTGGTTTAGTCAATCTCGTCTGTCTAGGAGCAAGGACGCTACTAGGGGCCCAAAAAGAGTTTTAACAACTCTCCCTCTCTCTAATTTACAAACATCTCCAGGACAAGCCCGCAGCAAATTAAACGTATTTTTGGTGGCTTGTTTCCACCTGAATAGTTATGTTGGGAGCTAGAACCCTCCTCCTCCTCCTACTACTACTACTCCTACTACTCCTACTCCTCCTCCTGCTCCTACTCCTCCTCCTGCTCCTGCTACTGCTACTGCTACTACTACTGCTACTACTACTACTGCTACTCCTACTGCTGCTGCTGCTGCTCCTGCTGCTGCACTCCTGCTCCTACTCCCTCTCTAGCAGATTATTCATGGGGAGTTGACCCCATGAATGGTACATCAGACCTTCTTGACCTTGTGGACCTTCCACGTGGTGGGGTTGAAGAATCCATGGTTCACACTATAGGTACCAGATGGTACTACACCATAATTACTTTCATCAAACAACAGATTCAGGGAATCCCGAACACGTTCACCTGCTTTCCAGTGGCCAGGTGACAAACAACGCATCCGAGCCAGGACCTTCACAAAGTTTTGCGCTCCTCGCCCACGACACTCGTCCAAGACCTGCCGAGGTATGTCAGGTTCGGTTCTGTCTTCCTTTTCGTTTCACCTCCACACCGTCGCAGGCCTCTGAATAGCTGGCTTGCACTGAGGCTGGGATACTCAGCGGAACGAGTTCGGTGGACCACGAGCGCTGCGGGCGCACGTAGCTGATCAAGTACGCTGCAAAATACGCCTGGACGAACCTTGGGCGGGATCGTGTCTCGAATTGTCTCGGCCCGACGGTGACCTGTTCTCTCCGACTAGTCGCTCAGCTCGCAAAGGAATGGAGCTCCTCAACATCTTCAGCATGTCCAAAAGATCGCTGTAGTGCTTTCGAAACATAGTGCCCGATATGAAATGACCTAGCGTCTGCAACCATGTTTGGATCAGTGACGGAGCCTGTACAATTTGTCAAATGGACAACGGTGTTTTTCAGATTCATGCCACAACCTCCCACCTCCATAAAGGGCTCTGGAGACCAAGCGCCAAGAGGCCGCGCATTGTAACGAGTCCGTGTTCTGAAGAGCCAAGCATTCATCCTTTGTTTTGGAAAACGTTTACGACAGCTAATTAATTTATGCCAAGCATTCATCCTTTGTTTGTCTTTAATGTTCTTTCCTTTAATTAATTTATGCCGTTTTTTCAATGTTCTTTCTGCCAGCATTTTTGCCTTTTCACTTTTCGAAGTGCAAGGGTCTGCGATCACAAGAAGCCAGGTGCAAGAGAAAGGATGCCGCATAGCCCGAGCGTAGGTGGTGATGATGAAGGTGACGGAATGCCCATGTGTGCCCTCATGGCCCTCAGCTATTGACCACGTTTTTCCGTCAACACCCTTTACACTTTGAGACGTGAACCACCGTGAGCCCGATTTGAGCGGTGCCGGTCTCCAATTTTTCTGCCTGCTCACAACTTTGGCCGTATTGCCGGAATCAGCGAGCTTCTCATGTGCCGGAGCACTCCAACCTAAGTAGTTTTCTTTTTGGTGTGGACGGTGACCACCCAAACTCCAAGTCGGTTGGCATGTCTCTTGATGGACCATGGCATGTCTCTGATTGTGTTCGGACTTTTCTAAATTACAAAACACTGAAACCTACCAGCACAACAGGTGAGAGGTGCCCAAACTTGTTAATGTAAAACATCAACCTGCTGGAAAGTCGTGGTAGCAAAGATTGTGAATTAGCAACGTGTGCATTGTCAATTGTGCATCATTGTGTATTCATACATTCTAGGTGTCCAAAACCCAAGGGTGGGAACGCATCCTTGAGATGGTGCTACGCTTAGAGTTGAAATATAATGAAAAGTATTGCACACAGCTTTCAGACATGACACCCATTGCCCGCTCGCGCTTCGCTTCATGACATGGATGCCACCTCTTCGACTGGGAAAAAGCCAATGGGAAACACCTCTGTAAAAGTAGGGTCGGGCTTGCAGCTGATGGTCTGCTATCGCGCCATCGGTCTGATGCACAAGCAGTGGTGGTGGTTGTAGCACTTTGTGCGCCCGCCATATCCTCGGCTTGACGTTGCCCAAGTAGTGCACTCGTTGCCTTTTTTTCACCTTAGCTTGCTTGGCTGAAGGTAGATCTATTGGCAGGTGCCTTCTTCACCACACTGAGAATGCAGATCAGTGCTCACACCTGAGGACCGCACGCCATGGCGTTTCTTGAATTTCACCTTGAAGCGTCGCCAAAAGAAGTTCGGAACATCTGGAAGGACAAGAAGACGTCGTGTTTTCTTGCCCCACCACTCAGGAGCAGTTGTGAGACGTTCTGCTGGCAGCCAGCGCCGGGAAACCTGAAACATTCTGTCCAGCGGGACACTTCTTTTTTACCGCTTCTTGCTAATAGCGATGCCCTTGCTAGCTACTAGTAGTAGTGCCCTTGTCACTAGTAGCAATGCCCTTTTTACTA